CATTGATTTCTTCCTATAGGAAGAATATGGTTATTCTCAGACCATTATTTTTCATTTGGTTAGAATTAAAGTGTATGCACAAGAATTTAGTCAGACTGTATCCCGATGAATCATGAAACAAATTCAGGGTTTAAAATCAGTAGACACTGGATTTGGTACCAGCTTTGAAATGCATTTGCCATGTAACAACATGCAAATTACTTTACAACTTTGATTCACAGTTTATCCACAAAGTAGGGATGATAACTCCTATATCATGGAATAGATTTGGGAGATAAATGAGATAATTTCTGTAAGAATATTTTGTAAAATGACAGTTAGCAATTAATATTATGCATTCTAAATCTGTATCATATAACAAGCCACAATTTGTGTTTATTTGAGTTGGGAAGTTTCTTCATTAAATGAGTTAGCTGAAAGCAGGCTACTATTATTAAGATGGTATTTTAAAATTAAAAGATGTATAGGTAAAGTTTGATTTGGAATAAAATTACTAAAAATCTCATCTGTGGCAAGAAAATTTTCATCAGTTGAATATTAATGTTTTTTAAAAAGTAAAAATAAACAAAGAATTAGAAGCCAAAAAAATAGTGTCATTGCTTAATTAGAATACGAAAAAACAGATATGGAGTAAAATTATTTCCCTAAACAGACTAGTATTTTTAATAGATAACATGAATTTTTCAGTTTGAAGTGCTTGAAGTATTAATGTTGGTGCCTGGAATGTATACTAATGTCATGTGCAAAATGATAGCTCTATAGACAGGAAATATAGCTGGATGCATTATCAGCAGATTAAAAAAACAAAAAATAAGACCAAAAACTTTGTGAGGAAAAGGGAATAGAAGCAACTATCTAAAGTATACAATATAATAATGTGATGCTTAGATGGAAGGAAAGAGAACTAAACAATGTGAAAAAGAAGAAAATTAGTAGTGGGTAGAGGACATTACATATCAGACCAACTATATTGAAGAAGCACCTTGAAAGGGGACTTAAAAAGTTCAGGGACACTTCATTCCACGCTTCTCTTGGAATTTAAATGTGTAATCTGGAGCTGGACAATCAGTACTTGGCTGATTTTAGTTTTAAAATCTCTCCTAGAAGAAGGTTAATAGAATATGATCTCTTTAAATAGGGAGTAGAATGAAAAGTTCAGAGGTTACATCTAAGAATAAAGGTCAGCAAGCTGTCTGTCACAAGGGCTCTTAAGTTTATTTTAAAATAAATGGCATGATTTAAATGCTGCCTAGTCATTTCAATAATACTTAGCAAAATAAAAAAGTGTGCACGTTTCTGCAAAGTAGTGAAGTGTACAGGATTGTGTGCGAGCTGGGTGTGTTTTCATAATCTTCTCCTATGATTCAGAAACAAACACCTGCGGTGAGGTTCATAGTTGAGAGGGTGTGACACAAACATATTTGCTTTCATGTTTTCCTCTTTAGAGTGTTCACCCTTCTATGCACAATATTCTATGAGCTGGGTGTGTTTTCATAATCCTCTCCTATGATTCAGAAACAAACACCTGCGGTGAGGTTCATAGTTGAGAGGGTGTGACATAAACATATTTGCTTTCATGTTTTCCTCTTTAGAGTGTTCACCCTTCTATGCACAATATTCTACAAGAAACAACAGCACATGGTTTAAGCTCCATAATAAAATCTTTCTGATGCATTTTCAATGTGAAAATGTGCCATCATTTTCTAGTAAGTAGGAGGTCTACAGATAGGACTTTGACATCTGAGCAAACCATACACTAAGTTTATCCTTCTCAAAACAGAGAGGAAGAGTCGGATAAAGAATATTCTTTGGATTTAAAGGAGGATAAAGCTAATACATTCCTATCAGAAAAAGAAATAAATATAATCCTCCTAAAGAACAGATTTGGACAAAGAATCACATAAAAATGAAAGATTTATTTTGAAGAGAAGAAAACATTTCAAAGCTTGTACCTTGCTGCTACAGAGAACATCAAGGAGAGGCTTATCTTGTCTATCTGATTGAATGTGTAGATATTGTATTGTTGCTGGGATGGAGATTTTCTTTTGTAAACTATTTAATACACCAGCAAAACTTATTCACTGGCTGTTCACCAAAGCAGAGTCATATCTTGCAGGTTTCTTAGCCACAAAGAGTGCAAAAAAGAGTAGCACAAAGATGCAAACATAAAGAGTTGCATGAGGCCAGATATAGGGGTATTGCTTCCACAGACCAAGTGGCAGAAAAGCTGGCTGATGTTATAGAATCTCTTCTAGTCTGTCTGTCCAGGAGAAACAAGGCAGGGAGAAGTCAAACAGTTTTCAGAGCTAATTCTGAACTTGGAATCTCTCTCTGGGTGAGAAAGAATTGGAAAGGATGGCAGAGTACCAGTACTTGGCAAAAGATGTCAGAAGTTAGGGCAGTTGAGAAAGGGCTGCAGAAAGAAAGGGGGAGGTGTGTTGAGAACAAAGGGCATTCATGCAGCACTGGTGAATGCTGCTCCAAGACCGATCTTTGGTTTGCATGCAAATAAAGGGCAAGGGGCTATGAGCTGCACCTAAGGAGAGCACATTACTGCTCAAATAAAATGATTTGCGATAGGCTAATGTTTAGAACCAATTCCATGAATGCCTACAGAAAACTCTCTAAAATGAACTTGAATGTGATCTACCTGAATACAAGTTACCACTAAAGCTCAGGGTATTGTATCGACCTGTTTAGAAAAATAGAGAAAGGGTCAGGAAGTGAAGTGGGAGTTGGGGAGAACCTAGTGGGCATAGAAATGGTGGAAGCAGCAAAGAAGGCGGGGGAACCCATGTTCACTGATATATCAGACATTAAGATGGAATGGGATACCATGTGGTCATAGTAGCCCCTTAATAACTATTTGTGGAGGGAGGGAAGGAAGCACCAGAGCCACCAGATATTGTGATGTGGGCTGTACCAGGTCCAGGACTGACCTACTAAGTCCCCGGCACTGTGCTAAGTTATATACTGTATATAGTTCTCACAAGAACCTTATAGCCTATATGGTATTTTCCACACATAGATAAATATAAAGAAAATGAGACTCAGAGAAGCCCATGTTACTTGTGCAAGTTCTTCCAGCTAATTATAGAAAGCAGGATTCTAATTCACAGCAGGTTGACTTAAAAAGTTATGCTGTTAAAAACAATTGGGAGAACTAAAATTGATTTGAAAAAGTACACCAATGAATGCAATTTATTGTTTTCTGTTTTTAAAAACTGTTGTTCTTTCCCAGCACACTACTTTTAGACAACACAGTCATTTATGGCATGCCTGGGGGCAGTAAGAGTTTGTACAATTCAAAAGAAAAAAAAAAAAAAAGAAATCTGCCCTGAAAAAGCAAAATGAAAAGAGGTACTGCTTTTTGCAGTTGGGCTGCTATCTTTTAGCAGTGGTCAACTTATCATCATAAGCAAATATTTTACAAAGCATTTTGTGTAGTGGCAAAATTATATGGATATTAATAAGTAAATTCCAATGCATAAACTACCAAAAATGAGAATTGTAAAACCTGTTCACACTGAGTTGTAAAAGGCTATTACAGTCAATACTTCTGGGGCAGCAGTAGTAGGTCAGTAAAAGAGGACAAGTCCTGATCTTGATCATGCTGTTAAAAAATGGTTCTTAACATTTATATTCAGTACAACTCAACGCAATCAGAGGAATGAAAAAACGCCTATTTTGGTTGATAGTAAATAGGTCAAATTTACTAAATGGAATTTAAGATAGACAGTTGGGCTCAAGTTAAGCATGTCAATCTACTTGTTACCTGACCTCACAAAAATCTTAAGAGAACCACTGGAATCAATGGAAGAGTAAGGTACTAAGTCAGATGAGTATTCTTATTGTAGTTTCCAACATAAATTATTTCACCTCTCTAGTTCTCAATTTACCGTTCTCTAATAAAGATGATAATATTATCTGCATTTATTAAATGTCTTAATAGAGAAATTAAAATACAGTAAGTTAAAACCATTGTATAAAGAAAAGTGCTATTCTTAGCTCATTTTTTTGTAGAAGAAGGAAATGTTGTAGAAGATGTCTTATAATGAATCATTTACACATCTGACTTACTTGTTTGTTTGAAAATATATTTGATTTTAAAAATAACTTCTGAACATATTGCTAATGAAATAGCATTGCTTGCCTGGAAGCTCACCTTAGTCATAGAATTGATATAAAAGAGATCCTAAAAGAGGGTTGGGTTTCTGGCAAGACATATGATCAACAATATAAATGTAGCATGTGCTCTATCCAACCATTTTGGACAAAGAATTAGAAAAACTGGGCACTTATCCTTGATTTTGCTATTGAATAGATATGTGACTTCAGCTATGCCTCTTCATTTTCTAGTGCCTCTCACCTTTTTTCTCAAACCTGCATGATGATAGTGCCTTATTCTTCATATTTTATATTAGCCTTATCAACACTTAAGAAGATACTTGTAAGAAGATCAAGGGCTTTCCTTGCAGTCTGACCATTGTTCTAAATTGGCTTCATGCAATTTTTCTTGAACATGAGTCTAACTTAAATTTCTTGACTTAATTTTATTTCTTTTCATCGGTTAAAAAAATGCATTTACCATTTCTTTTCTACTCTTTTCTTATCACTTAAATGTTCTGCCACTAAGATATTTTGGCTCTAAGATATTGAGGCACTTCCCAGAAGGAGTCGAGCTTCCGTTCTTCCAACAATCCATCATGTATTCAACATGCCTGTGTTGAATGCCTACGGCATACAAAGGCTGTGCCAGTTGCTGGACTTTTCACTATTTCAGTCATGGTACGTGCCAGTAAAAGCCACATGGTTAAAACTGCTGCCCAGCTTGCTGATAAAGAAAAGTTAACAGCAGCAGATACTCTTGACTTACCCTCCTAGACCCTGGAAGTGTTTGATAACAAACCCACGGTTCAGTCTATTGCTTTTCCAGTTCCCTCCTGACCGCACCCATGTCTGTGGCACTTTGGAGGGCCTGGCTGATCCTGTGACAATTGAGTGTGCTTGAGTGGAATCTTAAAGAGCAGTCTTCACTTTTCTCATCATGCATCAGAGGGAACCTTGATGGCTGCTCCAGGATAGACTACCATTCATGGGTTGTTCCATTGGAGGAGGAAAAACATGTTTACCAGGATAAGCCTTCCCAACTCTGCACCCTCAGGCAGAGATAAAGCTAAATGCGGGAGTTTTTTCACATTCTAAAATGATTGCATTCTTACATTAAGAGAACCCTCAGAGTGAAAAAAATTATCGAGTAGTTTTTCTACAGATAAAAATATCCCATCGGATGACATTTCACAAAATTGTCTATTTCTGTAGGTTTTCAGTGACTTCACACTTACATTCAAGTAGGTACTCTATGGCTATTTGTCAAAATGTCTTACCTTGTCGCTGCTTTTCCACCAAGTGGGAAATATTGAAGATCAGCGATATAACCAGAGCCAAACCCAAGAAGACTAGAAGTCCCCAGAGAAAAAAGGGGCATCCAGAGTTTCCTAGAAATAAAAGTAGACACAGCCATAATCTAATAGCTGCTTTCCCATTTGTTTTGGTCTGTCTATTCCCGCAATTAAAACCATTGCATTTATTCATAATAGAGGACAAATTCTTTGCCAGGAAATTAATTAACATTGGCAACCAAAGATTTCTTACAGATTTCAGAGTGGATATTGGCGATTAGTCCCTGAATTCAGCATCAGCAAAAGGAAGCGAGTTGCCCACATTCTTAGTGTTGAAGAAATGGAATACTAAAGATGTATTCCACTAAAAGGGGACAAGTAGGGACTGACTGTACAAACCTTGGTTCAGAAATCAAGAACATCCAAATTACCAAGAATCATAAATTGCTATATTTTTCTCCTTTTTTAAATTCTCAGACTATAGGGCCGAGCCCGTGGTGCACTTGGGAGAGTGCTGCGCTGGGAGTGCAGCAGCGCTCCCGCCGTGGGTTTGGATCCTATATGGAGATGACCGGTGCGCTCACAGCGCTCACTGGCTGAGCGTGGTGCAGCCGGTCTCAAAAAGGACAAAAAAAAAAAAAAAAAAAAAAAAAAAATTCTCAGACTATAATCACACATGTTTTTTTTATTTACAGATAACCACTTGTTCTCTTCTATTAATCCCAGTCATAGAGGATACTGTGTGTTGGGATAAAACATAATTCTGGAGTCATAGTAACCTAGTTTTGTGAAGACTGGCCATAGGGAGCTTCTCTCTTATTATGTAGACCCCATGAGTGGATATAGAGGGTTGATTATGCTTTTCTTTCCTCTCTGTGAAGACCTTTCTTTTCATTCCTGAGCCATAAAAGGAATTTTGTAGGATGTTACCTGTCAGTTGCCCTTGCGTATTCGCAGCTTTCTTTACACATATACGAGTAACTTCTAAGATAATTAGTCCAATTATTTATAAAAATATAAAATATATTATATATAAAATTATATATGTAATTTATATATCAGGCTAGTTATCTTAGCAATGATATCCCCATAGGACCCACATCATATGTTGACCCCAACAAAGTAACTTGTGATTCTACATTATGATATATTTATTTATTCAGCCAGTATCAATTAGACATCTCTTCTGTGCCAGGAACTATGCCCTATACTAGAGAATCAGAGATAAAGAAAACAGAATTCTTGCCCTCAAGAAACTCTGCTGTTGGGCTCATTTGTTAAACACATAATTAGAAATGTGAAAATAAATGTAATAGAGAAGCTATTTCCTCATAGTCCACCTCTCTCTCTATGTGACTACCCACAATCAGAGACCATTTAAGTCCTTTCAAAGATATCCAAATACCATTACATTAAACACAATAAATGGAACATACAAAAAATAGAGAGGAAATTAGCTTTGCTTCTCTAATTGGTCTTCAAAGCATCAAATGAAAACTCTCTAACCCAAAATATCTTTGTGCTGCTCTATTTTACTGATTTTATGTGTGTCAAATTTGACATTTGAGTTGTTAATTATTTTCTTTGAATACTTGTTGACACTTCAGTGTTTGTTTAATTGCCCTCAGTGGGTCGAGTTGGCATCTTTGCTTTGTAAGTGAGCATGATTAAGGCATACAAATGGTTAAATATATAAACATATATATGCATATGTATTTATGATATAAACATACATGTACATATATGCACACAATTTGCATATCACTTATTGACATTATGTATGAATGTACATTGCTTTAGTTTGAACTAGTTTGCATTTCTTTTAATACCAGAAAAATTTGTCTACTAATGTTTACTACTTCTCATGATGAATAAATTAGCCCCCCCTCAACTTAGTATTTTTAACCAAATTAATTGGGAGGCCTATAGCAGAGAACAAAAGACTATTCAAGCTGTCACCTACAAAGAAACAACCAAATCACTGTTTCAATCCTACAGTTTACACTAAAGGCTTTAAGGAAATTCCTAATAATTATCATGAAATATGTCAGCAACAATAAGGCAAGAACTTGGGCCACATTACACATTCCTTTAGGGCTGTGTTTTATCATTTACTGCAACAGTAAATGTGTCTCACATAACCATTTGGCAGCATTTTAAAACACAAGCTAAATTCTAACATGTGGCAGCTGGTTTAGGCCTGTATATGGAGTACATTAGCATGATCTCTAGTTTTTTTCTGATTTTAGAAGTCTATAAATCCTAACACTTCTGCTTTTCAAGATTTTTTTTTTTGTAATGTGATCTGAGTTTAAACAGAAATGTTTTCATGTAGAAGCTTTGTATTTCCTGGCAGTCTTAATATCATTCATAATTTTTTGACTGACAACAACAACAAAAAACACACATTGTGAAAAAAAACAAAACACACTCATGAGAAGTGAAAATATTGAGTAGCTGAATGTGGAATTTTCAACTTGAATGGCAGATCCATATAAATGTTCACACACACACATGCACACTTAACACACGACTTCATACCTTCCGTTACCCAGTAATTCTCCATATGCAGTATAAACATTTCCATACCCCTGTGGCTTTTATAATATTGGATTCACAAAGTGCTTAAAAATTCTTGCCCAAGAAATACAATCTTTAATATTATTATTCACTGATTGTAATTACTTTCATTTACATAGCTTTTATCAATTTGAAAAGAACTCCCACACAACGTAATTTTAGCTACACTGTTAAAAAGCCAGAGGGCTTGAGAAATTATTAGGGAGGCAAGGACAGCTAGGAAAATCATGATTTAAGTTTCTATCTAGATTTCAAATGCCAAGGGCTAATAGTGGTGGGTTTAATTATAAGACCTCTGACTCCCTCAAAGCCAACAGTAATTAGGGGGCACTGTATTCAGAATTCACAATTACATGTACTCTGGAAGTAAACCCAGCTAAGCAAATATAATGTCATTCTGCTGGCAGATTTGATTCATACAGGAGTCTTTACTTAAACAATCAACAATAGAAAAAGCAATAAATATAAAGCCTTAAATGCTTCTATTTCAGGCTGTCTTTAACTGAGACAAGTGTATGAGTTTATAGTATATAGTACATTGCTTCTCTTAGTGTTAGAGCAGTGAACATCTCTTTGCATTCAATGAATGTGTATATTTATTTTAGACACCCAGAAGTTTCAAAGAAAAGTAGTGATATTATTATCTACGAGTCTTCTCATAAAATGAGTTTTTCTTAACACAATGATGGTTTGGTGCTGAACAAGGCACATGCTTGATGATTTTTTGAACATGGCTCATCATCACTACACCCACAGCCCAGCCACCCCTCTGCAGCCCCATCATCCTTGTCAATAGAAGGCATTAGAATCATAGATGTTAGCACAAGAAGGGATCTCAGATCAGTGCCAGGCTTTCAGGTAAACAACATACTGTTTTTAATGCAAAATCTGTAATCCACTGACCTTAAATGAGTGTCTATTACGAACAGAGGCTTATTTGAGAAGTGAGTGGTGTGTGTCGGGGAGAGGAAAAACAGCAGTACCAGGCTCTGGGTGTCTATTTTCAAACAGTGTGAAGAAAGAGAATGTGAGCACTCAGTAGTCCTGTGACTGCGGCACGTGGATCACCGAAGCTCGCTAAGCCAGTTGTAAAACTGGAGCTCAGGGCTTCTTCTGTGTGACATCAAGGCCACCTATTTCTAGCACATCACAATTCCTCCCAATCATTGCTTACTTAATTTAATTGAAGAAAGTGCACACACAGCAGTGAGGTGGAGGGCAGATTTTAAGAGAATATGGGATGACTTCTCCAGTGCTGAATTCCTGTTGATTTTACAATTAAACTTTAGTTGAGATTGGTAAACTTCAGAAGTCCTGTTAAGATTGAAGTGCTGCCAAAATCCCTGCTGTAGATGAGCCTCTCTACCTGTCTTTAGTGACTCCATTTTATATATAATGTATATACTTATGGTTTCCTATTAGAGAAGCACCTCGGTAAGACTCTCTGAAGGTGATGTGGTTGTGTGGAATCTTCCATCCAACACAATTCTTTAACTATTGTGTTACTTTTAATGTTTCAAGAAGGCCTACTAATTTTTCCTCTCCTCCATTTAATTCAGAATGCTGAGAAAACTAAATAAAATCAAAAAGCCTGGAAAAGTGCCCAGAAATGATATCTATTATTAACTAGCAGTTTGTTGGCATTTATTTCTCAGAGCTTCAATCTTTGAGTGACAATCTTCCCTGGATTGACTTTTTTTTTTAAATCACTGCCACATATTACCTAAATTAAATGATGAAACATTGTCTTTGACCCATTTTTAAAGAATATCCGAGTTTAAAAGATGATCCATAACTTAGTCCTACCTAGTCTCTAAAAGAAAGGCTTTCACTGTTCTCAAAAAGTTATTGAGGTTCAAAGGAAGACAAAACTGAGTAAAGACAGTGATAAGCCTTTTTTTAAAAAAAAAAAAAAACACAATGTATAGACTAAATTGTGAGCCACTGTTTAAACTAAATTAATGATAACCCATGGGAATCGTTCCACCATTCAATTCAGCTAATATTGATTTTATGAGTGCAGAAACACAGCAGGAATTATGATACCAGCACATTTATTGATGATGTAGTTACTACAGGCATGTGGGTAGGAAACAAGGAAAGAAATTTGGGGTTTTCTTTTCATACAGTGTTTTACTTACCTAGACATAATTTTGCTTTCTTGTATGTTCAAATTATTTTCTTTTTATCTAAATAAAAAATCTATCATCTGATTCTCTTCTTTCATATTAAGTTTTGTCTTGTTTGGGCTTTTAGGATCTATGAGGCTTTAAGGGCAAATACTTTGTCTTTGTATCTCTTCTGTGGAATTGTCAAACATCTCTCAATCGAAAATGGAGGAGCTCTTATATTACGCCTTAAGGAGAAATCTGAACTTCAAAACTCTATGGAGAAAATTTTATCATAACCCTTCTAAATTTAGAATTTAGAAATAGTTGAATGTCATGTTCACTGCCTAGAGCCTTCCCACTCTTCCCAAGTCCCCCATCATCAGCCCACAACTGTTCATAGTACTGCTATGTCCTTTTCTCGCAGGCACAAGTGAAAGGGGTTCTTTGCTAACCTATGAACTTGGAAAGAAAAGGAAGGGTGTAAAATTGTATATTAGCTTATGGTCCCTGTGTGATTTATACAATCAATTGATTTTAAAATCCCTCAAACAAAACACTGGGAAGCAAATTCACAGAAATTATAATATGTAATATCTTCACTCTATAAATGGCTCATATAAATTGATATTAAAAGTACTGTAAGAATAAGTAGGCAAAAAGATATAATCAGACAATTCACGAATGATAGAATTATGAGCAGTTAAAAAACCCATGCAAAAATTTTCAACGTTATTATAATCAAAGTAATGCATATTAAACAATGGGTCATCATGTTACGTTTATGAAATTAGTAGAGATTCTTTTAAAGGAGACCAGCCTGTTAAGAAGAAACACCACTGGGATGAAATTGAATTGGCACCACTCTTGGAAAAGCAATTTGGCAATAATGAGACTTAAAACGTTCATAACCTCTCATTTGGTAATTTCAATTCTAGAACTCTTTCCTAAGAAAATAAACTTTAATACAAAAAAGTGATGGAATTTTTCATCTTTCCATCATTTAATATATTAAAAAACTAGATACAACAAAAAATGTCCAACAATAAACAAATGACTAAGTAAACAAATGACTACAGCCCAATAGATGTCACTTTGTGCATTTATTTAAAATGAGTAGGCAGAAGTTGTAATAAAAGGGGAAATGGTTTTGTTATCTTAGGGGGAAAATCTGGATATATAATTTTATGTACATTATTGTTTTAGTTATGAAAAGCAAACTATGTAGAAAGTATAGAAATAAAAATTGGAAGGCAATACAACTTAATATTTTATGTTTTTAAGGTGAGGGGAAATATATAAGATTTTTTAAAAAATTTTTATATATTTTTCACAGGTCTCCCACTTCATATAATGAGTGTGTTTTCTCTTATAACAAAAAGATGTTTATTAAAATATTAAAAGCACACAGAAGAATATAGGGAAATATATAAGATTTTTTTAAAATTTTTTATATATTTCTCACAGGTCTCCCACTTCATATAATGAATGTGTTTTCTCTTATAACAAAAAGATGTTTATTAAAATATTAAAAGCACACAGAAGAATATAGGAGGAATGGACCATCAACACGGAGTCACAAGAGTGAACCGGTATGGATTCAACCCTCACAACTATTGCTTAAGCGACTGAATTGTCACTGGCCTTCTCAAAATTGTCATCTCTGTTTATGTTGACAATTGGATTGATTGCTGGGAACATACCGTAGTTTCTGATCTCTATGGAATTAGAGTGCAGTGACGCCTATCCTGCCCTACATCTAAACTCAATTAAAGAGGACTATGTATAGTTAACAAAGCTTCCTTAAAAATAACATGTACTTCAAATGGCATAATTATCAATGAACTTATACTAAACAGCTACAACTAGCTTTACATTAGAAAACACTGCCCACTTTCTTTCAAGATAAAATAGTCAAACTCATCAATATATTAAAAAATATATTATAATCATAATAAAGGTTATCTCACATTTTCAAAATAATTGTGTTAACTAATTTACCTTCCAAATATTAAGGAACTTTTTGTGAGGACTTGGACATTACTTATCGAATTTTTTAGGCATAGGAACTGAACAAAGTAATTAAAAATGCCACTTACCTGACATGCTTCTTTTTTCAGAGAAATCCTTATGTAGCCATAAGGCAAATGTACGATTTAAAATGCTCTCATGAACTTTTTTTCCTAAGTAAAATTGCTCTGTTATGTTATGTTAGAAGCAGCAGGGCAGAAAACTTATCTTTATCGGTGTCTCAGGGTTTTTTTTTTTCTCCTTCTGTTTCTTAAAATCTTTTGTGTGTACTTTGTTCAGTTACAAACAGGAAATGTGGTGATGGAAGCCTCTAGAGTTTTGACCTGAAACCAGTTGACTAAAACTGTCATGTAATGTGGGAAGAAAAATCCCACAAGCCTCCGTACTCTGGTATTTGAATATTTATCAATACTCGAGTCTAATTTAAAAAGAAATAATCAAATCAAGGTATGAATTAAACTAGGATTGATCTTTCATATCTCTAGAAAAGATCCAGGTATCTCCCCACAAGTGAACTCACATGGAAACAAAATAAAACGTACTAACCTGATGAGGGAACAGTAAGCAACCCTTGGGCGTGCTCAGCCACTTGTTGCATTTTCTTCCAAACATGATGGAGGAAAGGGGATTAACCCTTTCTGAGCTCTTACTATGCATCAGTTGCCTTCTGTACATTATCCCACCAGGAGACTAGGTGCTTATCTTATGCCCTGCCAACCCTCATCCCAGGCAGTGTGAGTGCCTCTGTCTAACCTAGAGCAGCTTGACAACAAGCTCCAGTTCTCAACCACCATCCCAGAGTCTCAATGTCAGAAGCTCTTAAATGCTAGTGTCCATAAATATGCTATGTGGCACTAGTTTAAAATGCATTAGTTAAAAATCCTGGGCCCTACTGGATCAGAATACCTGGAGAAGAAACCCTGAAATCTGCATTTTAACGAGCACCTCTGGTTATTTTAAAATAGGTATTTTGGACAATGCTTTGAGAAACTCATATATATGTGGGGTAGAATTGATCTAACCCATCATTAAAACTCCAGAACCTAGATTTAAGCCTGGCACATTCTAGGTCTCAATAAATATTCTTACAATGATTGAATAAATAAAATAGTGGTAGAGTCTTCTGCTTTCTCCTTATCCCATTGTAGAAAACAATTCCTATAGTAAGCAAAATACAGTGTTTTCTTTGTTCTTTGGGCAGAGTTGGTAAAACACTAACATTTTTCCACTCCAATTACTTTCCCCAGAATATTTCTTGTGAATCATTGAATCAGAATCTATAAAACTGAAAGAGACCATGGAGATTCCTAGTCTAATCTTCTTTAAAAAGCATTTTCAAAATATGTTTCATAGGACACTAGGTCTTTGAGAAATGCTTAGAAAACAAATGCTCCTTCAATAAATATATTTGGAAAAGCTGTGTATTATTTTTACCTCTATAGATGCATATTAGTATATGAGTACTAAAGGTTTAGGTAAGTCCTGCAAAAAGAAAACCCAAATCATCTTTTTATGAGTCTTTTCTAAACTTATTTGGCCAGAGAACTCTGTTCTGCAACGATCCATTAGCAGGGTGACAGGTTCTGTGTAGCAGGCCTGGTGACTACAGACGAAGAATTCGAGGGAACACTAGTCTCAGGTTCATGTAGGGACTAGAGGACAACAATGAATCAGTCCCAGAATTAGATGGAACACAGAGACAGAGACTGCTGAGAGCTGAATTGCAGACATCCAGGCAGGTTTGGACACCTAAGACATCAGTTTAAGAGGAAAGGGCCAGTCGTGGGGTGGCCTTGAGGGGTTGGGCTTTGGTGACAAGGAGGGTAAGAAGCTTCAGGCCCAAGAGGGAACTGCATGAGTTACAAAAGCAAGACCTTGGAATATGGGCAAAGTAGATGCCCACTTTTGTCAACTGAAGCATACAGAGGACACTGGAGAGAGAAAGGGTCTCAAGACAGGAAATATAGCTGACAGCATCTCCTTGTTAGAACAAAAACATTGAAGAGGATGGGGAAAGAAGGAAGGAAGATATCCCAGTCTGGATGATCCATAAAGTGTAATTTCAGAAAAAAAAAGAGTTCAGTAACTGGCTGTGAGTGCAGAGAAAGTCAAACTCAGCAAGAACGACTCTGGCAAAAATGCAGAAATTCCTTGGTTAGCTCAGGAGGTGTACCTCTCAGAACAGCCCAACAGGAAGAGAGACCCAAACCAAACCTACTCCCTGGGACACCAGCTGGCTAAGAACTTCCGTGCCTCAGACTTTAATAGACAAGTCTGCAGGGAGCTGGGGAAGACAAGAGTGGAGGAGATAGGCAGGGACCCAGGAAGGTTGATTCCTGTTTCATGTCAATAAAGGAGCCTGTAGTACATGCTAAGTAATTACCTAATGGCTTAAAAGAGTTAACGTACATCCTAAACACATGATTGATATCTCCAAAGCAGTAAAAACTTAGACTAATAAATCTGAACCAGTTCACAATTTCTAATGATTATAACATTTTTGAAAAGTGATCTGCATTACAATGTTCTCCATCTCATAGATTTGTGGAGTTGGAAGATATAACAAAATTGTCCAAGGGCACACAGAACGCCTGTGCCTGTGCATCAGCTAATAAATCTGAACCAGTTCACAATTTCTAATGATTATAACATTTTTGAAAAGTGATCTGCATTACAATGTTCTCCATCTCATAGATTTATGGAGTTGGAAGATATAACAAAATTGTCCAAGGGCACACAGAACGCCTGTGCCTGTGCATCAGATAGCTCCACAGATGTTTGAAATTTGCCAGAAAAAAAGATAGCTTTTCATTAAATATAGATGGCTGAGCACATGGAGACATTATCAGACTATGAAAACGTCTATGAGATTTGAATGATGGCTTATGAGCTATGTTCAACTTATAAATAAACATGAGGTCTCTGTTGTACTTTTTAATGAGATGGGTTACCAAAATGAAGTTTAAAAGATAACTATACTCAGCAGAAATGTCCTGATAAGCTTCAAGAGTTAGAAATGTCATAGGAAATTTAGGGGGGGGGGAGGTTTTGATGGGTACCTGTCATGAAATGAGAATTTTAAGGCAAACAAAATTGAGGTTTGTTGCCAAAAAAACTGAAAAACATATCAAAATCGCACCTGCCATTCAGAGTTCCACACTCAGAAAAATGGGTCACACAGCGTAGAGAGTGACCCAGTTTTTCAAACCTCTTTTTTATGATCATCTATCATTTTTGTAATTAATCACTATAGTCTATTTATTTACATCTGTGTGTGTATGTGTATGTGTGTATATACATATACTTTAAGTCCAAGGGGTTCCAAGCTGTTAAGAATAGGTATTGCAATATATTTACAAAAGTATTTATTTATTGTTGAAATTATTTACAATAACATGCACTGCTTTTATAGTCAGAATAAAAGATGCTTCTTTATTTTAAAGACCCTTTAGAATACCTTTGTTTTATAAAAACATCTTATCTCTTCGTGTAATTTTTCTTTATTTCTGGTGAATCATTCTTTAGTTATACTAAAGATAGTATAAAATGAGCAAACAACTTTATTAGAAAATGGAAGGGAGGGACCCCTGTGCTTCCAATTATGCTGTTTTAAAATATGGAATTGTTCAAAATTAATTAAACAGTTACAATTGCATCTCATTAGACTATATTGATGATTCACATTTTCATTGAGTTTAGACTATAAGATCCTCCAGAAAACATAATTACACAGCTGGAAAAGAAAAAAACATGAAAGCAATAGAAGAATGCACAGATTTGGCATAAGGTTTTTGGATCTTTTTATTACACTTATTGTGCCTTACAGGACCAGAATTCTTAGAAAATCAAACGTTAAAATAAAAGATTATATAATAGAAATTTAGAAACAGTAGAGAAAAATGTCTAATTTTAGGCACAGTCTATTTTTCCACATGTGAGAGACTTAAGTATCCGAGATTTCTAGGAAACAATTTGCCATATTACACTGACTTCTAGGTGATGCCGTAGAGAGAGTATTACCAAAGCTAAAGCATTCTGATAAATTTTGTTCTTATTTGAAATGCATTTGGTGTGAACAAATTAAAACAAGTCTACTTGCTGTAGGACTTCTCATAGCTTTAGTTAGCTAATATGCAATTTCTCCTCTCAAGAGGAGGATGTATTATGTAGTATACTTCAAAAAATATTGCATATGAGTCACATTCCTTTATTTTTAAAGAATTTTTCAGGACTATTGTTCTGAAGTATGTATTTTAGGAAACACTAGATCAAGCAACTTTTTGTTCCTGTTGAACTGGCTTTTACCTTCTGGTCTCCTTCTACATTCAGGGCTTGGCTTACTTGAGAGAAACTGTGATAATATCAACTTTACCACCTGAATAAAAATTTTCATAATTAGAGATGGTTTTGTTGAGATTAAAAAAGAATGAGTTCTTAGAATTCAACTGTCCTAAAATAAGTAACACAATTGGCATCTCAGAAGTTTATACAGTGAGTCTAGCTCTATGGATCCTCCACCAAATAAATGCAGTAGATTAAATTTTGATCAAAATGACAGACGTAGTGCTAGACTATTTCTAGGAGAAGGCAAGTTCTAACTGGAGGGCCCCAGGGCCTAGGAACATAGAGCAGAAGCAGGAACACCAGGAAGTGATGCTGCAGTCAGGGTCCAGGCTGGAAGCAGATGACAGGAGCCAAAGGGGGTAGTTTAATGAGTTGAATAAAGGACTATTTACAGAGGTACAGGCAGGACTAACAGGAAGCACAAGGGAAAGTGAAGCATTTCTCGGTTACCAGTAGAGAGAGCAGATGACCACTGTTTTAGTCAGGGTTCTCCAGAGAGACAGAACCAATAGGATATGTTTATAAATATATAAGAGGGGATTAATTAGGGGAATTGGCTCATGCAATGGGAAGGCTGAGGAGTCCCATGATAGGCCATCTGCAAATGGGATGCCGGTAGTGTGCCGCAGTCCAAGTCCAAAGGCCTCAGAACCAAGGAAGCCAATGGTACCATTGGTGTTAAGTCCTGGAACCCAAAAGCTGACAAGTCTCGAGCTCTGAAGTCCACGTAC